GGTTATGTCGTCGAACGGAAGGAACACAACAGCACTTATTGGATAAAAGTGAATGAATACGGATGTCTCGACTGCGAGTATACTGTCCTCAATCTGAGCGAAAACAACGAATACGACTTCCGAGTGTCGGCTGTGAACAGCGCCGGTAAGAGTGAGCCCTGCCTTATGAGCACATCAGTGAAGGTGCAGGAGATCGCCGGCGGAGCCAAACCAGAGTTCGTTCGCAAACTGTTCAACAAAAACACAAACCTTAAGTCACAGATCACTCTGGAGTGCGAAGCCATTGGCAAACCGGTGCCGAACGCGCGTTGGTTTAGGAACGGAAAGGAATTGCATTCGAGTGCAAGGATTAAAGCCATGGAATCGGAAGACGGAGTCTTCAAACTGGTGTTCGCCGAAGTGTGGGATTCGGACGAAGCGGACTATACCTGCGAAGCCATCAATTCGTTGGGTTCCGACAAAACTAGTGCTTCCGTACGCATAGCAGCGCCGCCTCAGATCATCCGCTGTCCAAACGAAGTGTATTTCCCCGAAGGAGACAACGCGAAGATCAAGATATTCTTCTCCGGTTCGGCGCCTTTCGATGTGATTCTCTTCAAAGAGGGTCTGGAAGTGAAAGAGTCGGATCACCTCAAGTACACCGTATTCGACGAATACGTGATTATCTTCATCAGAGATGTGGTGAAGTCGGATGAGAGTAAGTATAAGATAGCGGTGAAGAACGAGTCGGGACAGGCGGACGCGTCGTTCGCTGTGTTCGTCACAGGACTGCCCGGAAAGCCGACCGGACCTCTGGAGGTGCCGGAGATATCGCGAAACGCGGCGACCATTACGTGGAAAGCGCCCAAATATGACGGCGGATGTCGTGTCACTCACTATATCGTTGAGCGCAAAGAGACGTCTCATTCGCATTGGATTACCGCCACCTCTATGTGTAAGGAAACCATTTTCACGGCTCAGGGGCTGACAGAAGGCGGCGAATACCTGTTCCGAGTGCTGGCCGTCAATGAGAACGGACAGAGCGAACCACTCGTCGGCGAGAATCCAATTATAGCCAAATTGCCGTTCGATAAGCCGTCGGCTCCGGGAGTGCCGGAAGTGACAGAAGTTGGCGGAGATTTCGTGAATCTTCATTGGGATAAACCGTTGAGTGACGGCGGGAGTCGTATACAGGGCTACGTCATCGAGAAGAGAGAGGCCAACACCGAGACGTGGCAGAGGGTGAACGTCGCTCTTTGCCACTCAACGCAAATCAATATCTCAAACCTCATCGAAGACCGTCAGTACGAGTTCCGGGTGTTCGCCGCGAATGAGGCCGGACTCAGCCCTCCCTCCTCTAACTCGGGCTCCGTTAAGATCAAAGACCCGGAAGCGGCCGCTCCTCCGGAGTTCACACAACCGCTGAGACGAGTGCTGGCGGTGGAGAACAAGAGCGCAGAGTTCACGTGTACTGTCGTCGGAGTTCCCAAACCCAACATCACGTGGTTTAAGGGCGCGCGAGAGATATACGACGGCGGGAAGTATACGATGCTTAGAGACGGCGACACTTATAGCCTAACCATCGCCGGAGTGTACGGCGAAGACGCCGATGAGTACGCGTGTCGTGCGGTCAACAAAGGCGGCGCCCGATCGACGCGCGCGGAGCTCGTCATTAAGACGGCGCCCAAGATATCAGTGCCGCCGAGGTTTCGGGATTTGGCCTGTTTTGAGAGGGGAGAGAACGTCTCCATTAAGATCCCATTCACCGGCAATCCTAAGCCGAACATCAAATGGTCGAAAGAGGGCGAAGAGATCGAAAGGGGCGACCATTTCGATGTGATTGTGAAGGAAAGGCACGCCATTCTCGTGATCCGAGACGTGTCTAAACTGGATTCGGGTCCGTATTGTATAACCGCTGAGAACGAGTTGGGCGTCGATTCGGCCACTATTAACGTGCAGATCAGCGACAGACCAGATCCGCCGCGATTCCCGATCGTGGAACAGGTGGGCGACGACTTCGTGACGCTGTCGTGGAAGGGGCCGCTCTGGGACGGGGGGTCGACGATCACCAACTATATCATCGAGAAGAAGGAGCCCTCGATGTCCAGTTGGGTCCGTTGCGGTCACACCCGCTTCCTCTTGCATCAGATCACTGCTCTTAATCCCAACAAAGACTACGAGTTCCGAGTGTTCGCCGAGAATGTGTACGGAAGGAGCGAACCCTCGGAGACCACTCAGAAGATCACAACCAAACCGTCCGAAAAGGACAAACACAAGCGGAAGGGCTGGGAGTTCGACGCTATGGGCAGAAAGATTAGGGGAAAACCTGAGGGAAAAGTGACTAATTATGACCAATTCGTGTCGGAAGACGAGCGCCTGATTGGACAGGCGGTGGACATCAAGACGTCGTCGGTGTACGACTTGTACGACATCCTGGAAGAGATAGGAACGGGTGCTTTCGGTGTTGTCCATCGGTGTCGCGAGAAGAAGTCCGGCCGTATATTCGCCGCCAAATTCATTCCGGTTTCGCATCCCTTAGAGAAGTCGATAATCCGGAAAGAGATCGATATAATGAATCATTTGCATCACATTAAGCTCATCCGTCTTCACGACGCCTTCGAAGACGACGACGAGATGTGTCTCATCTATGAGTTCATGTCTGGCGGAGAACTGTTCGAACGGATCACTGATGAGGGCTATAAGATGTCCGAATCGGAGGCCCAGCACTACGTGCGGCAGATCTGCGAAGGCGTCAAACATATGCACGAGAAGAATATCATTCATTTGGATCTAAAGCCCGAGAATATCATGTGTCAGAAGAAGGACAGCAACAAAATCAAGATCATTGACTTCGGTTTGGCCACTAAACTGGATCCGCACGAAGTCGTCAAGATATCGACGGGAACTGCAGAGTTCGCCGCACCCGAGATCGTCGAGAGAGAACCCGTCGGCTTCTACACAGACATGTGGGCCGTCGGTGTCCTGTCGTACGTCCTGTTGAGTGGATTGAGTCCATTCGCCGGCGAGAACGACATCGAGACCCTCAAGAATGTCAAGACCTGTGACTGGGATTTCGACGAACAAAAGTTCGCAAACGTGTCGAATGAGGCCAAGGATTTCATTCGCCATTTGCTCACCAGAAACAAAGACAAGCGAATGACAGCTCACGAGTGCTTAGAACACGATTGGCTGAAAGGCACAGACGTGTCGACCACTCCTATACCCAACAGAAACTATATCGACATTCGGGACAAGACTCGCGCCAAATACGACACTTGGCTCTCAGCGCTCGTCCCCATCGGACACATCGCTAACTACAGCTCTCTTCGCAAACTGCAGGACGAGAAGTACAAAATGCAAGAAGTGTTGTTCGACAGGCGGGAAGCGGTGCCGCGGTTTGTGATTAAACCCCAGTCGACGATCGCATACGAAGGACAGGCGGCGAAGTTCACGTGTCGAGTGATAGCGTCGGCGCCGCCGACCGTCAGTTGGTTTAGAGATAATTACGAATTGAAACAAAGCGTGAAATTCATGAAGAGATACGACGACAACAACTATACGTTTGTTATCAATCGATGCAAACTCGACGACAGAGGAGAGTACACCATAAGAGCCGAGAATCACTACGGCTTCCGCGAAGAGCCCGTATTCCTCAACGTTCATCCGCTGCCCAAAGACTTACCGCCGTTTAAATTGGATGAACCCGTGAGGAGACGACGGGACGCACCGCCGCCGCTATGGGAAGAGCCCAAGGATTGTGCGCCACATTTCACATTCCTCTTGAGACCCCGTGTTATTCAAGTGGGACTCGGAGTCAAACTGTTGTGTTGTCTCAATTCGAAGCCATGGCCTGAGATTCGGTGGTTTAAAGACGGGCGCGAACTCAGTAAACACGAGTACACTATGTCTGCGGCCGACGGCGTCTGCACTCTAATCATCACTTCTTGTAGACTAGAAGACGCCGGAAAATACACGTGTCTTGCGGTCAACCATTTGGGAGAAGCGGAGAGTTCTTGTAATCTCATAATCGAAGGTTTGATTCACTTTTGCTGTTAATAAATGTAATGAATTTCTAAACAATTGTTTTGAACCCATGTTTAGCGAAACGCTCGGTTCCGACGCACTCGCCCTCACCAGTGGTTATCTCTCCTCCCATATCGAGGATCCATACGCCGACCCCTCGATCACCGGTCCCTCCGTTAGACACATATATACGAGACTTTAGAGAATCAAAGAGACAACAATCATATTCATCCAAAAGACACGACTCATCCAATTATTCTTCACATCACTCCTATTCTTCTGATACCTCTTCTTATCAAAGAAGCTCTTCTGTCAAGAGTTCATCGAAATATCAGTCGAACTATAGTTCGAGTAAATATAAATCGGACGCAAAGACATCGGCTGTCAGTACGGGATCTCATTATTCGGACACAAAACGATCGGTTCCTTCGAGTGCTTCGCCGACAACACCGACGACACCCGGAGGCTCACGAAGACGACAGAGCACTAAAGAGATAGCATGTAATTATTGAGTTGTTTTTCATTT